TGGAGTTGCAGAACTAAAAAAATAAAACTGCTTTATTATTAGCAACTTTTAGACAGGAGAGATAATATAGGGATTAAGGTGCATGCCTTGTACCTAGATAACCCTTATAGATCCCCAACATCACATAAATCACATAGTACTCCCAAGAATCCTGGTGCAGCCCTGGCGATCTCCAAGCACTGTTGGAGTGGTCCAGTAACTGCAAGGTCTAAGCAACATCACAACCTCAGGCCTTAGCATTGAACCACTGGCATGGTTGTCTGAAAATCGCTGGGAGTGGTCCAAGGCCTCCTGAGCACCACTTGGGAATCCCCCTGCAAAAGGGAGTGTTTGATTTGTATACATATTTTATATACTTACATACCAAAGGTCTCATATGAATTTCTAAGGTGAAAAGGGTCACATGTAGTACAAGTTTTAAAAGCCCTGCTCTAACAGGCGGAAGCCGTAAGGTGTGGCCCCAAAACAAAAACAACAACACAAAAAGAGTCGGGAATGGAGCAATAGTCCCACAGGCAGGGTGTTGGCCCTGCAAGAGTCCAACCCAGGTTTCATTCTCCACACCATACATGGTCCTGCGAGCTGGTCAGGAGTGTTGCCTGAGTCAGAGCTAGGAGGAAGCCCCGAGCACCACTGGGTGTGTCCCCCCAAAAGAAATAAAACAAAAAAGCCTCCTCTAAGCTTCTCCCTAGCCCACTCCACACCTCCTCAAATTCATACACTGCTTCTGAGTGTAACAGATTAACTTCCTCCCTCTATTACTTCCTACAAAGTGCTTATATTTAAGGAAAAGGGAAAGTACATGACATTCCTGTGAGTGTGAGAAACTGAGGGGCCCCAGGGGAGAGCACCCCAGTTATTTGGTTTTCCAATCATTACAATCGTTCTTTCCCCAGTGCCAGAGAACAGAGCCAGCATCTTGCCCACACAAGGCAAGTGCTATACCACTGAGCTACAGTCTGTGCTCCTTGGCTGTTTTTTCAAAGAAAGAAATAATCAAGTTTGTGCATCAAAAAAAAAAAAAATAAGCCCAGAGATAATATAGAAGAAGTTCTGGCAATGAGAGTGAAACAAGTCAAAAATGTGGCAGGAGCTGTGGAGACAGCTCAGAAGCTTGAACACAAGTCTGGAATGCAGAGGTCAGAGTAGAGTCCAAGCACTACACGGGGTCCTGAGCACTGAGGCTGTCTCTCTGGGAGTGTCCAGCACCGCTGGATTCGAGCAATGCTGAGCAAGCCACATATTGCCGGGAGTGACCCCAGCGCTCCCCAAGCACCATTTGGAAGACCCAAAAGCAAACAGAAAATTCTGGGTCAGGGAGGTAACTAGAAGGGCAGGAGCACATGCTTTGCGTGCCAAAGCCCTGTGTTCAATTCCTAACACCATCTGGTTTCATGAGCACTGAGCCAACATGGAGCGGGAAGGAGCCCTGCACCCATACACTGCCAAGTGTGAACCAAACACAAGCAAGCAAACAAAAAATTAATCAAGAACTCATAACAGGACACACACTGAAGGCCTGAAAGAACTGCACACTTAGAATAAAGAGAATGTAACAATAACAAAGTCAAGAAACCTCTTCAAAGTAAAATTGGAAGATACTGATTTTTGCTACAAAAATGGGTGGCTCCCGCTCAATCATACCAGGTAGGAACTGTCTCTGATCTGAGAATTATGTGGCCTTCTCCGAATGGGGGTAGTCAGATACCCCTCTCTGTGAGAAGGCCCAGCAGCCCCCATCCACATCTGATATCCTCTGGCATACACAGTCCAGCTCCACAACCAAACCTTATGAAGCTGCCAAGACATCAAATTGTCCCAGCTCCTGGAGCGCACAACCGCACATCTGCAAATTTCACAGCAGCAGCAGCCCAGACAGTAAATTTGATGGGATCATTGAGTAAAAGACCACCAAGTTCAATAAGCAAAAGAGCAACAACAAAGACTCAACTAGTACCAAGCAGCCCAGTAAATCTTCAGACAATGACCTCAGTAACACCACTGTGAGAGGTGACAATGATCACAAATTAACTTTCATTGATTTTTTTAATATAATTTCATTTGTCATTTTGTTGTAACAAGCAATATGAAGTAAATGTGTCTGCTAAAGGGGCAGGCTTGGGGAGTGGGTTGGGGTTAAAAAATGGGGACGTTGGCGGAGGGAAGGTCACACCAGTGGTGGGATTAACGTTGGAACACTGAATACCTGAGACAACTGTATTATGAACAACTTTGTAAATCACAGTGTTTAAACTTTTAAAAAAGACACATCCAGACTCCGCACCAGGCTGTCTCATATGGGGCCCATATCCCCAACAGCTAAAAACCTCCAGAACTCAATCACTGCCATGCTCATGGCCAATTGCAACCGGCTCAGACTAGCCTCATCCATGAGTGAATCTGCTGAAAAACTCAGGTACACGGGTTTTGTGACCACTGTCTTCAGGCTGGTAGGGTCAGGAATGGGAAACACCCCCCCTCCACCTCCCTGCTCTTGAGGGAGCCTGGCAGTCACGCCCACGAACTGCCTCTGGCATCATATAAACTCATTAACAGTCATGATCCAGAGACTCACAAATAAATCTCGGAAGAGAGCAACAAGCTGCAGGGATGTCTCCGGAGTCACCCAAGCTCACCATCCAGTTAAAAAAATTAACTCCATCTGTATCACTCTATTTAAAAATTTTAAATTCCTGAAGTGCACAGCCACACATCTCATACTCTACGCCCCTGATGTACCAACAGTAGCACAACACACTTGATGGGGTGTAAAGCAGAAGGCAACCAATCTCGATTTAAGATTATATATATATGTGTGTGTGTGTATATATATACATACATATACACACGGCTCAACCTGTAACATGATAGCAATCCCTTAATGGCTCTAGGGTGAGATACAACAATCTTCACAAACTTTCCGGAAACCTTAGTGGATCATTTTTAGCGGATAATTCATACATAACAAGCAATACAGAATAAATTACTTAGGTCCTGCTTTGGGGCTGGGGGGGGGGAATATAGAATATAGTGGTGGGAAGATGTAATGGTGGTGGGCTTAGTGTTGGAATATTGAATGTAATATATTATTGTGAACTTTATAAAAATTAAATTTTTAAAATTTTAAAAATAAATTAAAAGAACTGGATGGCTCCAAGTTTGTATTACATACAACTATATGAATGACGACGCCATGAGTCAAAATGTAAACTTGCTAATAAAAGACTAAGTGAAATATTTTGGAAAAGGGAAGCTCTAGGCATGGAGAAATAATTTAGATGAGCTAAAATAATTTAGATGAGCTGTGAACAAATGAAGTGATCGAGATTTATCTGCAGAGTAACAAACTGGCCAAGTAAATTCAAGTCTCCTTCATTTATCTGAAGGGTTCTTTCAAAATCAGTTGAAACCTTAAAGAGGGATGTGTACTGAAATAGGAACTTTCCTTCTTAGAAAGTGCATCATTGAACTCATTTCCATCAGTCCAGATGTGAAATCAAACAGAAAAACATATATATAATACAACACACACATACACACACACACATATGTATACACACATATATACAGAGTGAAACATAAGATCATCCACCCTGAAAACAAAAACTGAAGCCAGCAAATATTCTGAAAATAATGAACAGCCTACCATTTAAAATAGCGAACAAGGAGAAGCACATGAAACAGTTTCCTAACGCTTTTATGAGTTCCTGCAATCCTGACAACTGCAATGTAAGAAATAATGACTGACATCCTCTCCATTCCGGAGATAAAGAATGTGAAGGGCAGCGAAGCCATGCTTGCTCAACTCCCAAGGTCACCCGACGGAGTCACACGAAAACCAGGACCACATTTGTCATTCTGCCAGCGTCCCTGGCCTGATGGTGTCAAAAGTCCCCAAGAGTTCTCTGGACAGCCGGGCTGTGGCTAACCAGTGGGGCACTGGCCTCCCGCGCGTGAGGCCCTGGGTTCGACCCCTGCCCCCAAAAGGAGAATAAAAGAACCATTCAACGGGGACTGGGGAGGCAGCAGAGAGGGAGAAATAAAGGGCAACTCAAGCAAGACAGGCCGCTCCCTGCGACGACGAGGAACTGCTTCCCAGTGCGGGATGGGCTCTGAGTCATTCATTACCAGCCCGGCAGTAAAGCACAGGCTCCAGCCCTGGGAAGGGGGCCGGTCCGCAGAGTCCCGCACGCGGAGGCGAGCGAAGCCCTCGGAGATGAGGCCCCGAGCCCTGCTCCCGCCAAACCAGGCCGGGGCTCCGGCACCCGCGCGGGAGAAGGAGCACGCGCCGCGAGCATCCCCGGGGGCCCGCCGGGGGGCAAGCCGCTCCCAACGACCACCACCTTCCTCGCCGCCGTGGGACGCTGGAGCTCCAGCCTCCCGAATGGAAGCGTGCCCTGCCCTGCGCTGCGCTGCCCTGCGCTGCCCTGCCCTGCCCGCCCACTGGGCAGCCCGGACAAAATGCAAGCCAGTCTGCTCTTTGCTCGTAAATGCAGCACGACGCTCCTCCCGAGCGGGACAAAAGGACCTTTCCCCCCACCACCATCACCCCGGAGCCAAGCAGGAAGCGGCAGGGGTTCTGTTCAAGTCTCAAGAGAGGAAGATTCGGGGGGTGGGAGGGGGGGGAAGACGAGGGGATAAAAGAGTAGCTAGAAAGTACTAGAAGGTAAAGGGTGGGAGCGTGAGAGAGCCAGAAGGAAGCAACTAAGGCAACCAGCTGCCCCTCAGCAAAGGGGGAATGCGAATAAAGAGCCTTTGGGGCCCGGGGCGCGGCCCCGCCCGAACGCCCCGGGGGCAGAGCGGGGTCTCGCCAAAGCCCGGGCGCAGCCGGCATTCTCGAGGAAACAGCTGACACCCCCGAGCCCTCGTCTCCCGCCTCCGCCACGAGCCGCTCCGGCCACCGACACACCTTCGCGCCCTTTCCCGGCCCTCTTCCGAGCAGCGAGAGCAGCCCCGTCCAGGAAACAAAGCCGGGACTGAGCCCGGGTGCCGTTACTTACCTTCCCGCTCACAACACCCGCCGCCGCCATGTTTCCAGCGCGTGCCTGTGATGACGTAGCACAGCCTCACGTGTCTCTCGGACCCACAACAACATCCGGCCAGACCCAGGCTATATCCGGGCGGGGGGGACGCGGCGGGGCGGGGTCCGGACCAGGAGGAGGCGGGACCTGGGCGGGGCTGGGGCGGGGCGAGTCGGCTGACGCATGCGTGGTGAGTAGCGCTCGGCGGCTCTTCGGGTGGAGCCTTTGGCGCGTACTGCGCATGTGCCGAATTCCCGTTTCTGCCTGCAACGTGGATGTCGTCGTGGTGTATTGGAGTTTGCACGGGATCGGGACTCTGAACCGTCCCTTAGGCCACTTTAGTTTGGTGTGCTGTGTCCGACACAGTAATGGGAGCAAACAGACAGGGTCCTAGGTTTGTGTCGCTCGGCGATCGTCCCTACGTCACTTTCTCTCCTGTCAAATTGGGTTGACACAGGTTGTGGTTGAGAGTAAAAGAATCCCAATCGTGCATCTCAGGAATCCTCTGTGTGTGTGGAGTGTCTGGTTTGAGGTTGGTCACCGCCGCTGCTCACTCATGATCTTGAGCAATGTATTTTGATAGGAACTGCGATACCACCACACCCTCTTCGCTCCAGAGTCCGGCGCGCGTTACTTCCTAGCTGTGGAACTTGAAGGAAGTTTCCAAATTCACCTAAATGACAAGATGGAAAATTAAATTACCCAAGGAGTTGTTTGGAGGGAATCTCACGAGACAATGCGTGTGGCAAGAGCTGAGATCTTTTAGATATTTATTTCATCTCTGGGCTGTAAAAGAATGCCAGAAATGACAGGGTGCTGCCGGGATTTCTCTGGCACAAGATGTGGGCCTTTCCCACACCTCAAGCAATAGTAAAAAGCCCCCGTGTACCAAAATACCAGTGCTCCTTCAGGTACTTTTCACACAAGGGAACAGCACGGAGGCTTTGGATGTGGTTGAAGCAATAACAGAAAAAAGGAGATTGCGGGTTTTGTAAATATCAGAAACCTAATAGGGTTGGGACCTACAAAACTTGATTTGGAGGATGTCGAAGCACTAGGATCCTGCTTCCACAGCTAGTACCGGCCAAGCTTATAGCTGAATACAAAGCCACTTACTGACAAGTGACAAATGAGCTCCGGGAAACGAGCGTTTACCTTAGAGTTTAAACAGCATAGAATGAATACTTGAAGGCCTTCCTCAAGTATCCCAGAACCTCTACACTATTCTGGGCATAGGGCTCTAATAACGACCCATATCAAATAATCCACTATTACAGAGTAATGGGGTTTGGTTAGTGAAGTATTAATATATTACCGGTACTCTGTGTTTTAGAAAAAAGTTAAAATTCTTAGTGCAGTGCAGGACTTGAATACTCAATTAATGATAGTTATTTTTTTCCATAATATATCTGGAAATTAAAAGCTTATCATTGAAATTTTGGCTTCCTAGATTCATCTGCTACTTTTTTTTTTTGGTCACACCTGGTGATGCACAGGACTTACTTCTGGCTCTGCACTCAGGAATTACTCCTGGCAGTGCTCAGGGAACTATATGGGATTCTGGGAATCAAACCTGGGTTGGCCACGTGCAAGGCAAACACCCTACTCACTGTGCTATCACTCCAGCCTCTTATCTACAACTTGATCTTCTCATGACGTCCTTCAACTCCACCTTACCATGTTTTACTGCATAATTATTACAGATTTTATGCCAAATTTTTTGTGAAAGTGGGGTGCAGACATGTGGAGGAGGTTAGGCCTGACCTAGGACTACTTACAGGAACTCCCAATTCTGTGCTCAGGGGTGTCTGGCACATGGTGCTGGGGAACCATATGCTGCAGAGGACCAAACTAGAATTTTCCATATGCAAAGCAAGTGCCCTAACTTCTGCACTGTCTCTCAGGATTATGTGAAGTTTTTCAGGGGGAAAAATATGTATTACTGGGGGAAAAAAGTGGGTGTGGATGATTATGCAGTAAGATGTGGTAAATGCTGATGCTACCCATGAACTAATCTTGACTTCTTTCGCTTTTCTCCCAAGTTTGATTCCTCTGCCCCTCTCGGAGAGTCCGGCAAGCTACCAAGAGTATCTCACCTGCACAGCAAAGCCTGGCAAGCTACCCGTGATGTATTCGATATGCCAAACACAGTAACAAGTCCCACAATGTTACCGGACCCTCTTGAGCAAATCGATGAACAACAGGAGGGCAGTGCTACAGTGCTACTGATCCTGGAACATTATCTTTATATTCTGTCATGCCCACCTCCTTTGTGATGGTGACTCCCAAATATTTCACCCAAGTCTGTCTTTATTGCATAAAATCCAAAGCCTATACCCATACCAAAACTTACCTGCTAGAAAGGTTTTCTTAAAATACACATTTACACACAGCAACAAAGAAGAAAACCGGCTGGAGGGCTCCACAGCTCCCGGAGAATGCTCCAGGTCCCAAACAGAGCTGATATCACCGGGAGGTCCCAGATGAATTAGGTGCTGCATCCCACCTTCTCCAGATGGAACCCCGGTGACCATGAGCCTCTACAAGCATAGCTCTGGCATGCGGGTACCAGGACAATTTTTCCAAACTGCGCGGCCACCTATGCAGCCGCGTGACATCTCCTTATACACAAAGTGATCAATGGAAAGTAAATCATGCAACGTTTCTCCCTGAAAATCAGGCTTAACTCTTTTGCAAACCACAACACCCAAAAAGAGAGAGAGAACAGAGGGGAATGCCCTTCCACAGAGGCAGGGTGGGATGGGGGGTGGGGGGTGGGAGGGATACTGGGATCCATGGTGGTGGGAAATGGGCACTGGTGGAGGGATGGGTATTCAAAATAAATAAAAATCACAAATCATCCTGTTATTCGTCGATTGCCTCGAGCAGGCTCCAGTAACGTCTCCTTCATCCTGGCCCTGAGGTTATATTCAAGGCTCTTTAGGAGAATGAGACCCATCATTGTTACTGGTATTTGGCATATTGGGTACGCCACAGGGAGTTTGCCAGACTCTGCCGTGTGGGCAGTCTACATTCGGTATCCTGCCAGTTTGTCAAAGTAGGAATGAGATGTCATAATAAGATGTCGCGCGGCCGCGCGGTTCAGGGAGCTGGTTTTTATAGTCTCAGAGTCTTGGCCGCTGATGGGATTACACGGCGCCAGGGGGCCAGTTGGTGGGTGTGACCCCCGCCTACTGGAATTTGGAGGATCTGGGTGGAGGATGCTCGACTCCAATCTGAGACTATAAAAACCAGCTCCCGGAGGAGAAGAGCGCAGTCTCCTGCCCCCGCGCCTGGCTATTCCTCGCCGGGGCCCCTTGGAGGGGAGCGGGTTGAGCTTTCCTCCCTGCCCTGGCCAGGGCCCCAGCAGCCAAAGACCTCCAGGACCAGCCACCACCTTGCTGAGACCGCTCTCCGCACACCTGAAGGTACAGGCAGAGGGACAAAGCCACGTGGGTTCCGGGCCGAGATCTCCAAGCCTACTCGGATTGGAGTCGAGCATCCTCCACCCAGATCCTCCAAATTCCAGTAGGCGGGGGTCACACCCACCAACTGGCCCCCTGGCGCCGTGTAATCCCATCAGCGGCCAAGGCTCTGAGACTATAAAATAAATAAATTTTTTAAAAAATACATATTTACGTCCAGATCACTTGTTACTCAAGGAGTGGTATGCAGACTAGCTACAGTAGTGCCAACTTGGGAGTTTGTTATAAATGCAGAATAGGTTCGCAGAACAATCTATTTTAGGTCAGTAGATAGCATAAAGGACCTGTATGTGTTCTTTGTATGCAGGAAGCCTGGTTTCATTTCCCAGCATAACATAGCCCCACAAGCACTGCCAGAAGTGACCACTGAATAAATACACATGCAGTGACTCCTGAGAACTGGCAGGTGTGGCCAACATTCTTTAAGTTAGTATAAATAATGTCAATGAGCTCCCTGTAACTGAAAATAATGAGCTCTCAGTAACATTAAAAAAAAAATTATTGTTTGCAAGGGGGGAATTTTTACTGTTCCTGAATTCACTGCCATAAACTGAATAGTCACTAATTAATTATAACTTATCTCACAAAGTCATTTGATGTAAGGCCCAGAGAGATAGTTCAGTGAGCTAAACACACGCTTTCCATACAGGAGCCCTATGTGGTCCCTCAGCACTGCTGGGATCTACTTTCAAGCAATAGCTGGAAATAACCCCTAAGTATAGCTGAGTGTGGCTCAGGAACAAAACAAAAGTCATATGATATAAATGAACCTTAACAATCATTATCATGAGGAAACTTTGGACTTGGGTGGAACTTTAGAGATAGTCTCCCCAGATTTTACAGCTGAAGAAAATGACTAAGAGATTAATGACTTGTCAAAGTCACTGGTGCTTTCTAGTTTAACAGAGACTTCATTACAGACATTTGTTTTCTTCAATTGTGTTCCACTAGCAGCTAAAAATAATCATTCCCCTCTCTAATCACATCATTTGGTTGCCTGTTCATTTTTATTCTCTTTTATGTCAGTTTCTGAGTGACTGAAATTGTCTTTCAGGGCTTATTCACATCATACATCATCTATTAAAATACCTCCTACTTTGTGATTACTCTTTGGTCTCTGTCTTTCCCAAACTCTTACAATGGATAGACTAAAAACTTTCTGTGCTTGACTTTTAGGGTAGTGTTATGAAGTGAGTATATATGAGATAAAAAGTTATATGGGACCTTCCTGTACATTCATTTTTACAAATTTCTAAAGCTTAAATGTATATTTGGATGTTTCACAACTTCATTATATATTTTTCTTTAGTGAAGCAAGATAGTTTTTAATTGAATGGAACTTATTTATGTGATGAAAGAGAAATATGTGATGGAAGAGAAAGAGAAAGTACGTGTTTAAGAGAGAACACTGGCTACTCCAGAGTGGAAAAAGCAAGCGAAGAGAGAGACAAGCAAATGAAATACAAGTTCACAGGGGAACATTGACTTGAAGAGCAAGCCTCATTACATATTTTTTAATGTAAATCAGTTACCTTTGGAGGTGAGGAGTAGATAATACAAATAAAAATGTATTAAACAATAGTGGGTTTTGTTT